CAAGAAAGAGTCACTAAATTTCTGAAGGACCCGATGGAGAATATAAGGTTCAAATATAGAAGTGTTGGCGACTTGAACAATTATATTTATCCAGTATTAGATATAGAAACATTACTTTTTAGTAGCATAACGAAGCAAAATGATAACACGGCGTCTCTTTTTGCATCTGAAGGAAAAATATTTGGAAAAGGTATGAATGAGAATGAATATCTTCACAGTACAAGAGATATATGTGACCGGTTTCGACTATATCTTCGGCAGATTTACGAATATTTCTGACATGGATATAATCGAATGAATATATCCATTTTCATTCATACCTTTTCTACATTTGTCGCAATGAACAGTATTCAGACGAATATTTCTCAGCGTACAAAATCCAGTATTCTGATCTAGAAATAACGTGGATTATGATGATAATCATATACGATAATCATGATACTATGGTAGAAAAACCCACAATGTAAAATTAGATTTATTGAAAGTGAGACAACAGTTTCGAAATCCACCTGGATTCCACCTGAGGATGGAATACAGGTGGATTCCGAGACTGTTGTCTCACTTTCAATAAATCTAGTTTCACATTGAGGGTTTTTCTACCAACGTGGATTATTTTACCATCTTAGTATAAAACCAGTAACCCAAATACCGTTTGGGACACATTACCTGAGATATTTGTGTATTTTAAGCTATCCACTGATATCGGTCTATCGTGATAAACCTTACCTGAACGTCTCGGGATGTTCTTGTAGTTCCCTGAACACATCAGGATCTCCCAGAGCCTCTTGGAGTGAGCGGCCGCCCATTTTGGTGGCGTCAACGTCTGCAGACCAAAATTGTATTGATCTATTTGCCAGTGGATTGTAGATGACAACTGCAGGCTGCATCAGATTTACGTCTTATCAGGCAATGGAACAAAGGGCACACTGCTTGTAAAATATCTGTTAAGATGGCTGTTTAGCGGTTAGTGACCGAATGAAAATCTAAGGTTAGGTGTAACTGTCAGGGCCAATGAGGAAGAAATTCAACGTATATCAGTTTTTGCTTTCGAAGAAGATATTATGTTACGCCCAAAATTACTCAGACTTTTTATAATAAAGAAAAGGACTTGTATCCCTAGATATTCAATGCAATTTGCCTACTAAATGGACATAACGGCGAGATATAGTTAAACAGATGCCCTTTTAAAGTTCCGTTCTGATCATGATCGTGGATATGAACAGAAACGAATATGTTTATCAGCATTTAAGAATGACGTCGCTGTATACCTTATTTTCTAATTCGTAATAAAAGGATATGATGATTACAAGAAAATTGAATTAACGAATGCAAATAAATGAACGTGGTACTTGTGTTGTCACGATATCATTGTTAACTCTATTACCAGAACTGTTATTATTATTATTACTATTATTATCATTATTGTTATGAACTGTATGTGCAACGGAATTTCAAGGAAATACTGTATTTTTTCATAAATGGCAGAACCACATCAGTAACTCATTAAGACTGTTTTGCTAATCACTGTTCTATCAATATTTGAAAAATAGAATATTGCACAGGACCAAAACATTTCACGTAGAGAAGGCTGACTTGGCTGACTCGAAGCAACGAGACGAGCGAGTGTTATGCCTTCTCCCTCGACTCTCTGTCACTGGTCATTTGTCTCACGTTCACGGCTTCCATTAACCGCTAACTATAAAAATTCCACATGAACACTGATTCCTAAAAATGCATGACACATTAGTCCCATTGTATTAATGGCAGTGATAGATGGGTAGAGTTGGAGTCTTGTTCAGTTGTTTAAAGCGAGACACTGCTATAATCGTAACACTGGTGTATTGTCCAATAAATTCCAATTGGCTGTTTCTCATTTGATACGAAAAAAAGGAAAATAAAGGTGATCATACTAATGTAGAGGAATGCCGTTAAATATTTGCCTCCCCAAAGTAGATATACTTATAAATGAAATTTATTTCGGAATCTCAGAAAATGAGTGTTTGTCAAACATTGCTTTTGTTTTCTCGGTCGATAACATTAGTGAAAATATGTTAAACGCTTTGAAAATGCTAAGTGCAAATAACTGACCATCGTGAGTAAATTTATAGCGGAATTTATTGTTTCTTTATAAACCGTGTACCGTACAATTTAAAGTCAGTGTTTTAGGGAACTATGTGGTTTAAATATAATTTTGTGTGCCAATATAAACCGGAGAAATTAACTGATGTTATAAATTGGTGGTATCGTGGCATTGTCAAAACATATTAAACATTTTTTTTATCTCTAAAATCTAGTCCATAAGTAAAAACATGAGGATTATATTCGTGCAGAATGGAGTCAAATACCTTCACTTTCATGTGTTTAACATCCATTACTTCTGTTAAGTACAGGATAATAATATTGTATGAATCTGATTCCTCCATTGCCAGACATCGCGCATTCCTACAGTGAGCATGCATTTTCTCGACAGTACAGTATCGAGGTTACTGAATTTTAGTATAATTATTATTATTTTTACCATTGATATTATTATTGTTATTATTTACTATTATCATCATCAATGGTATTCTAATCATTATCATTATGGTTATGACATTATCTTGTAATATTATAATTATCATTATTACAATTGTTATTCTTATTTTTTCATTAGTTGTAATTGTTGTAGTTACAGCAGAAATATGAATAGCAACATTTTACATTTAATATCTTTGATTGTGCTAAAAAACTATACACATACGTACACATGCCTGGCCATAGCCGGAATGCCCGGGCGAAGCCAAACTTCGCAAATCGCAACTGGCTGACCGATCCACTTGTCTCGTGGGCGAGATGAAGTTCTTCTGGGCCAGATTTTCCTCCAGCCTCTCCGTTGTTGCGCGCGACATTGCTCATAGTCTGTCATGGTGCCTGCATCATTGACAGAGGATGTTTACATGCACGTTGCATGTACTTTGGTTTCTATATGTTTATAAGCTAGTCTCAGTGCTGCTTATACTTGATTATAAATACATGGAATATATTCTGTATAAAAACACATTTAAAAAAAAATACGAAGTAAGTGGAAATAACTTTATTTTCAAATGATTATGCAGTGTGTCATAGATGCCAAATTTTACAAAATGAAGTGAATGGTTTCACATTCATATTCATAATCACAAGTATCATACTTCAGAGATTAAAATAAACGAAATTAAATACTTTACTCATATATATATTAAGTTCATGGTAAATATGTACCCAGGCAAATACTTTAAGCCAAACCCAATTCATAAGAAAAATAATTACCATGTATTATCATAAGACCTAATTGTACATATACTGAGGAAAATAATAATAATAAATGGAGGCTAATTTTTATTGCTCATAAAACCAAAGTACATCACCTTCATTGAAAAAAAATATATAAACAAGAATTAATTATACTGACAAGGACATTACACTATAATGGACATTGCTTTGCTTAACATCAAATTATTAATTTCAAAATTATACTTCATTAGAAAAACTGTTTCTTCTCTCTGGGGCTTTTTATCTACATTTTTTTTTTCAAGTATAAGAACTGACTCTAATATAAGATTAAGTGAAGTACATACACTTAATTTGCTTATAAGTAGGAAAGTCATGATTTCTGAATTGATGAACTGTTAACTTACTACATCAACTAATGACATTTCAGTCCACACAAAAACATAAGTGTAGGATACTTTTATCCCATTACATGCAATATTAATCTTGCTGAATGATGAATCAAAGTGAAGGAAATTAAAAAAATAAATGTCAAAAGATATATGATATAGCTACAAGTTTACCATCACAAATACTTGTGTCACACATTTGTCACTAGATTTCGAACAAAAGGTTATCTCAAAAAAATGTCGAAGGTAGCTATTGTCAAATTCAGTTACATGCATGATACAGTGACCAACATCACCATCTATCTATGTTAAGTATTTACAGATCTACAACCTTGAGTGAGAAGGTAAAGGAAAAGAAAGACCTGGTAGTTATCAAAGAACTGCCAAGACCAATCTCTGGATACTTTGTTTGGGAAATGGAGATCTTGCATAGTTATTTACGTAACAAGACAGGATTTTACTATCTGAGCTCAACCTGAAGCTCTGGGACCACTCGCAATGAAGTCATTTTGTTTTCGTCTTATCTGGTTCGTTCTATTTTGTTCTAATGTGGCTTCGCCAGTACATTCGTTACTTTTATCTATTTTTTTTATTTATTCATTTATTGAATTATTGTCCTTACTATTATTATTATCATTATTATTATTATCATTATTGTCATAATTGCTTTCATCATCGTCGTCATTTAACTTCGGCATCTTCTACTAGTTTACCTCCTTTATAGTTCTTGGTTTACTCCATTACGTAATTGTACTAGGTGGTTCCTTTCAGAGTGACTTAGCTGAAGGGACAACCAATGTGTATAGGAAATATTCCTCATTTCTTGGGATGCTGTGACCGTTATCACTTTGCAAGGTCAGAGAAAATAAAAGACTGTCTATTTGCTGCTCCCCAAGCTTGCAACACAAACACACACACACACACACACACACACACACACACACACACACACACACACACACATATATATATATATATATGTATATATATATATATATATATATATATATATATATATATATATGTATATATATATATATATATATATATATATATATATATATATAAAGATATATATATATATATATATATATATATATATATATATATATATATATATATATATATATATATATATATACGCACAAACAAACACACAAACGGCGTATTTGTGTAACATTTCTTTGTATGCAAATACACATATAATCCATAAAATGACAATATGTTCAAAGACAGTCATTATATCTTATTGATAGTTAACATAATGTTACGTGCAATTTGTAAACAGATTCTTGAGTCGCTCTAGAGCAGTTTCGACGTCCATATTATAGACGACTGGGCGGCAGAGATAAAAGCCTCCTC